CAGAGTGCCAGAGCCGATGGGTCCCCCGCCGGCAAAGCAGCCTCCTGCCAAAAGGAAATTCGGCGACGGACAGCCTGTGCCTGTTGGTTCCAAGCCACAGTTTATGTCGGCAAGTGCTCCTGCTGAAATGACGGAAAAGCAAAGGATGGACGAGCAGGATTTCGCCAAGGAACTTGCCGAGTATGCTGACGATACGGCAAGAGGCTCCAATTTCGTTCCGCAGGGCCGACGCGCTGAGCCGGCCTGGGTGGCAAAGGCCCAGGGCTTGAAAAGCAAGGGCGACGCCGTCCCGATCGGGAAAGCAGCTTACTTCGCCCAAAAGGGCAAGCCTGCCGGAAAGGGCCACAAAGGCAGAGTGCCAGTGGAGGACAATATCCCTACTGACCTTGTTGGAAAGGGCCGTCCAGCCCTAGTGCCACTTGTTGGAAAGGGCCGTCCCAATATCCCTACTCACCTTGTTGGAAAGGGCCGTCCAGGCGAAGCTCATCCTGCTTTTTTGCGGCATATGAAGACGGAGAAGGGAGGAATATGGTTGGACCCCAAGGAGGAGGTGGAAGCCGAGGAGGAGGACACTTTGGTTGATGTTGTGGTGGAAGAGGAGGAGCCTGTGCAAGATCCGTCGGACGATGAAATGGAATTTGTCGAGGTTATGGTGCAGGATGAGCAACCGCCGCTTGAGATGGAGGCGGAGCCCGACCCGGATCGCTTGGACGAGGATGAGGGTGACAGCCAAGCAACAATGGTACTAGGGGACCATCTCCGAGAGGAGCAAGATGAGCCGATGCCTTCTGTACCGGAGACCCGGGTGACTGAGAGCGAGCACGATGCCGTCGTCGCCAAGGTCATGAACGAGCTGGAGGCTATGAATGTGGACCCGAGCCCGAAGGCTGCCGCAAACCCCAAGAGTGCGACTGCGCCAGTGCCTGGAGAGGTGAAGCCTTTCTTGGAAGCGGAGGAGGACCTCGGAATTACGGACCCCCAAGGCAGAGTGCCAAGGGGTCAAAACAAGATCAAGGTTCCAGCCGAGCTTTTGCAGCCAGAGACTGAGGAGGAGAAAACTCTCAGAGCGTTGCGGGGAATGCTGCCATGCAGTCACAGGGCGGTGACGACTTCGAAGGTGGGCCGCCTCGCCAATCGGGCACGTATGGCGAGACCGGTGCCACAAGATCAGCCGTTCAACCCCCAGCACAACGATCGGAAGTTCAACAGCAAGACTACGACTGTCATGACCCAGCTGCTCATGGCTGTCCATGAGATCACAGTCCGAGAATGCGAGAAGAATAACGTGCCAGTGGATAGAAAGGACATGGCGTGGAATGACTTTCGGTCGAAGGGCTCGAAAACTGCGGTTGTCTGGGAGCTGTTGTGTGACCAGAACGTGAAGGAGATTCCAAACAATTCTGAGCCTGGGGACTGGCACCTGTGGCTTCAGAGGGAAACTGGGGTGGCGGTCATTGAGCAGATTCTCCAGTGCATGTTCAATGTCACTCCGCCAGTTCATGGCCGTGATCGAGTCAAGGGAAAACATCTGACATACTGGCACTGGTGGGAGGCCTCCAAGAGACTCGTTGAGGTTTATACGACGGAAGATGCCATCTCAAAGGAAAAATTCAGGCCCAAAGACCTGCAGAGCTGGATTGTGCCTTTGTCCTGCAAGATTTGGGATGCTTACAATTACACCATGCTTGTGTATTGTCAGAAGAAGCTGGAACAGAAGGCAAGGGGGGAAGACCTAGACGCGGTGAGCCAGATGGGTGATGATGTCCCGCCATCGGAAGATGAAGAGAATGTGGATGTTTACCAGACCACTGCGAACTTCGTTCCTGATTGGGGAGTAACTGCAGATGGCTTTCAGGATTGATCAGTGTCAATGATTGAGCTGAACGAGGAGGTTTATTAATTGTGTTGCCAAAACACAGCCATCTAGTGGACCTCCTCTTCTTCATCCCATTCGTCCTTGGGCACTGGTGACTTTCACAAGGCAGAGTGCCAGAGAGTTCTCGGTGTGACTAAGGCAGAGTGCCACCAAACAGTGTGGCCTGTTCAGATTCATTTTTGTGTCGCTGTCACTAGGCAGAGTGCCGGAAAGGCAGAGTGCCAATGTGAAATCGCATTTCTTGGGGCGTTTGAATGTTGTCACTTTTGCGGTCCGTCTGATCTGGCACATTTCAGCTTGCCGTTTTGGCAAACAAAGACGATGCCTATGCATACAGTCATGTCGGCAGTAACTCGATGGATTAATTACTGTGCCTGTGAATTGATTGGTTCAACCTTGGTTTCCTGTGACAGCCCCATAAAACCTGTCAGGTGCTGGCGTCCAAGGTGGTTGGCTACTATGGCAAGGCTGGAATGCATGATGCAAGTGATTGTGAGTTGTGGAAGCTGAAACGCTTGCTATCTGGCCGTTGATGGGACCATGCCACGTAGTGGGTACGGACTCTAGTGACTAGTGAGTGGATGCGCAAGAATTTCTTGACCTGGCCGCAATCAACATATGTGTGTTCAAGATCGAGTCCCTTAGTGCTGCAGTGGTGCTTCCAGGCAGAGTGCCAGAGACAGTCGCCGAGAGCAATTGGAAAGTCGAGGAAGAGCGCTCGTGTGAGTGATCAGATGATGTTCCCAATGCCGGGGGCAATGAACCCAGCAATGGGAATGAACAACCCACTGGCCATGATGAACCCTTTCATGTTGCAACAGCAGCAACAGATGCAGCAGCAGCAACAGATGCAGCAAATGCAGCAGATGCAGCAAATGCAGCAACAGCAGCAGATGGATGCTGTGGGTGAATCAAGGCAGAGTGCCAACGACTCCTCCTCGTCGGAATCAGAAGACCAAGAAGTGAGGAGGATTCGTAAGGAAACCAAGAAGAACAGAGCAAGGCAAGCAGCTACGATCGGGATTGATCGGCTGGCAACGTCCACTACCGATGCAGATGCAATCCCGAGAAGCGCCACGACATTGCGTTCGATCCCTCTGGCTGCTTGTCAATCAACAGAGTATCCCTAAGGTCAGCAATGATCCCTGAACCCTCCCCCCACAAAGCCTAGATAAGCCTTACTGACTGAGGTGAAGGTGAAAGCTCTGCTCGAGCGAGTGCATAGTGCATGGGATGCTGCGGTCACGGCTGACCTGCCACAACAAACAGCGCTGCAACTGCTCTTCATATTGACCAATCTGAATATGAAATACAGCTTGCTTGGTCAGCGATGTGAGAATGCCCATAGGCGTCAATCCGTCTGCGATAGCAGCAGTTGGAACCGCATAGCCAAACCGGTTCTGGGACTGGGGGTGAATATGTCTTAGCATTCTGTTGACAGGGTTGCCTTGGAGTGTGGATGGCAGTCCACATGGATGACCGAGGATGTCACGACCTATGCCAGGCGTAGAGCGAGAGCAAGGTAGTCCACTGAGACGCAGGGACGTCTCAGTTTCAATCCGAGTCCTGCTCCAGCTGCCCCGCCAACGGTTCCGCCGTCGGAAGGCAGAGTGCCAGACGTGGTCCGTTCTGGTCCTTTGCCAACGACTGCTCCTAGTTCCAATCCAAGCCAGGCTGTGGGTCGCAGCCCGGCTGGGGGACAAGGCAGAGTGCCGATTCAACAGCCGCCTGCCTCCCCTCATGCCGTTCCGGGTTCCAATGCAAGCCAGGCAACCGAAGGCAGCCA